ATTTCAGCTGCTTTCCTCCTCATCTCTTATTATTTCCATACCATTACTCTTGTGCCTTTCTCCTTGAACTCTGCTATTAATATTTTAGCCTTCTTGTTCTCTTTCAACTCTGCCTAGAAAATCCACACAAACTCCCATATATCAAATTGCTTTCCTCAAGAATATTCTCTGCCTTTTTTTTTTCCTCCTTCATTCAGCTCATTTTACAGCATCTCTTTAGCCTTTCCTTAATAGTTTCAGAGAAATTTCATGAAAAAGGAATGTTCCAATTTGTTTACAGAACTTCCCCTTTACCCTTTTCTCCCTACAGAGAGGAGAGCACCTGGAGGCTGCTGTTTTTACAACCACTAACAGGCTCTTCACAACTAAAGGAGAAAAAAAAATAAAAAGGTTACCATGGATATTTGGGAATCTGAGGAGAGCTACAAAATGGCAAATGAGGATTTTGTACCTACCATGCATTTGCCTTCCCACACTTTGAAACTCACTATGTTTTGTTCCTCCAACTGCAAACCAGGCTACAGCTGAACCAAGGCTGAAGGCTGCCAGCAAGAGTCATGCAGGAAGATGAAAGTAATAAGGACAGTATTTCCACATGACAGGTATATATATATTTTAAAGTGTTTATAGAAACAAGAAGCTGTTTAAGCAGTATTACTATCAGGAGAATTTCTCCCTGTAAATGTAGTATCAGCAAAAGGATAAACAATGATTAAAAAGCAATTTGAAGAGTCCAGTGAAGCAGAAAATGTGTTTGCTGGAGACACAGGAGACAAATGTAGTTTTCAGCAGACGAGAAGGCAACCAAGCATCACTGGAGGTAAACACACAATGTCTGGAAGATAAGATGTCATAAATTCTACAGCAGAAGTCCTGCTTATTCTACCCTGTTACCTGTTAGAGATAACAATATATATTAATGCAAGTAGTGCCAGAGATGGAGACTGTCTCAGAGCTCAGGAGCTCATTGTATTTAAAGAATCTCTCTGGTAACTTGTGCAGGATGAAAGAGTTTTGACAAAAATAGAGATCAAGCTGCAATTTTCATATATCTTCCCTTACCCTGTTCTTGTCACACAACTGTAGATCATCATCATCTTATTTTTGATTGCTTTGAGTATTATTTCATAAGAGGAAGGAAGGGACAAATATCAAAAGTGTAAAAGCATCAGAAATCAGATGCCATTAGAGAAATGCAGTCAATTTTTGATATATTTACACAATATTTTAGGATGAATTCATATATTATTTGGAGAATTCAAGCACATGTTTCAGAAAATCTATTTTATACTGCTATAGAGTTCACCACTTCTGGAGTATGACTATCAGCTCAAAGTGCAACTAACATACGCCAACTAGAAAGCAATGGCCATGCTGTCCAAATTTTTTCCAAAGCCATTAGTCTGCTGTTAAGTTAATTTCTTCCTTATTTATTCTGACCTTTGCTGAGTCACCCCTGTGAAAACCCATCTGTTAATTCTTAAGCCAACAGCAAAGGCACTCCCTAAATTGGCACCAAGGGATCACTATTGCCTAGAAGGCAACCTCAACACTCACATTTCAGCCCTTCAACAGGAACAGGCCAATAACATTTACCAGGGCTTCAAGATACCAGCCTATGTTTCAATGCTATTCTCATTTTTAAGCCATCTTTCCACACACACACCTCCCCCAGAGAAAAAAAATAAATAAATAAAACAAAAAAACCTTATTTGAGATCAGCACAGTGCTCAATACAGTCACACTTTCACTGAACCTATTGCCTCAGGTCTCACCTATTTACATACCCACTGGCAGAGGCATGCATGTGGAAAAATCTTTAAAATCTTTCAAGATTCTCAAACTTGTCCATAATGGAGCAAGGCAGAGAAAGCTAAGATTACAGCAGCACATCCCAAGCCATCAGGCCAGCTCAGGTTTAAGTTATTTAAACTGCAGAAGGTGCATCAGGTGCGAGTGACTTCAAAGCAGCAAGAGCTGCAGGAATGGGACAGTGATGCCTGAAGTCCTGATTAACTCCGTGTGCTGGTGAAGTCGTCACTCAGAAGAGCATTTTATTATTAAAATAATCATAACAACAGGAATTGGGAATGTGCGTGAGCACTGATGTGCTGAAGACCCTCCTACCTTACAGAGCACAAACTAATACATTACATTTTGGTGCTCTTCATCTCCTTTGATTATTCCCAGTTATGCAAAACAAAAACAGGTAATTTAGGAAAGGCTGCAACAGAAACTTAAGTTTTAGTAGGATAATTTTTGGTGTGGAAGCCTGCCCTTTTCCAGCAAGCAGTGACTCCAGAGGAGACCCCCCTGCGGCCAGCGGCACCACGCGGATCGGTGGGGCGGGAGGGTCTCTCCTTTCCCGCCCGCTCCAGGGGCTCCCGGAGGCCCCTCCGCTCCCCAGGACGCGGTCCCGGGCGGAGCCGTCGCCAACGGCCCCGGCGCGCGCCGGCACCCACCGGGAAGACTCTCCGCTGAAGCTGCCGCCGTCCAGCAGGCGCACCTTGCAGAAGAGCACGCCGTTCACGAAGGGCACGGAGGAGAGCTCGTCCAGCTCCAGCTCCACGCGGAACTTGAACTTCTTCTTCTTTATCATCATCATCATCGCCAAGGCCGCTGGCTGCCCCGGGCTGCGCTCAGCGCCGCACGGCAGCCTCCCCG